TGGATGGATGGATAACTGGATGGATGGATGGATGGATGGATGGATGGATGGATGGATGGATGGATAGATGACTCGATGATGGGTTAGGGCTCTGGGTAGTGGGTGACTTCCAGGTCTTCCTAGAGCCCCTCAAGTCTTGGCACTCCCCTACACCTGACCTCCAACAGGGGCAAAGCTGGCAGCCTTCACTCGCCAAGCCCCGCCCCCATGGCTCACCACACTCCCACGTGTTTCAGGGAATGGCGGACCAGCGAGGAGCCCGCGCACGTGAGCCCTGCTTCTCACCTTCCACGGAGAGCTTCTCCACCGCCCTGCGCTCGCCCCGGGAGCAGTGCGGGGGCAGGGTGTAGCCCTTGATGCTGCGGCCCGTGCGCACGCGGCTGCTGAGCACGTAGTTGGGGTCCAGGTCGTCACCACCCTGCAAAGCCAGCATGTGTGGGTGGGTCAGGGCCAGACCAGGCCACCTACATGTGCCCCCCATCGCCCGTCTGTTGGCCTGGTAATGTCCCGTCCCTTACCCCAAACGAAACTCCCTGCCATGGAGTGGATGCTGACTTGTAGGGACGCTCTAGGACAGAGTAGAACAGCCCCTGTCGAATTCTGAAACTGTGACTCTTTATGGGAGTCGAAAGCCCTGTCTTTATCCGATGGAGCGGGTGGTGGTTTCGAACGGCTGGCCTTGTGGATCGCAGCCCAACGAGTAACCACAACGCCACCTGCACGCCAAGCCCCTCCCACCCTGGTTCTCTCTGGCTCGTTTTTCCCACGGCTTCCCTGGCCCTGTCCTCCCGCTGGTCCCTCCCCAGAGCACACACCCACTCCTCCCTCCTCCAGAAGGTGCCTAGCTAGCCACACCTCCGTCACTTCCGCTTCCGGTTTGGGGGTTCTCTGTCTCCCTCTCTCTCTGTCTCTCTCCTCTGTCTCTCTCTCTCTCTTTCTTCCCATCTCTAACTGCCCCTGCCCGTCTTCCTTTCTCTTTGTCTGTGTCTCTGTTGTGCCTTCTGGTTGCTGTCTGTCTCACCTGTCTCTGTTGTTCTCTGTATCTCGCTGTCTCACCCGTCTCTGTTGTTCTCTGTATCTCGCTGTCTCACCTGTCTCTGTTGTTCTCTGTATCTCTCTGCCCCTGTGTCTCTTTCCCATATCTCCTGTCCATCCCTGTGTTTCTCGAAGTGTCTGTTTCTACCTGTCTGTCTGTATCTCTCTGTCTCTCCATGTCTCTATGTCTTTCTGGTGTCTCTCCCCACCTCTGTCAGTCTCTGTATCTCTCTTGGCGTCTCTCCTGTCTCTCTGGGTGCTGTGCCTCTCTCTATCAAGCTCTGTGCCTCTCCCTGTCTCTATGTCTCTCCCTACCTCTGTCAGTCTCTGTATCTCTCTGACTGTCTCTCCCCACTCTACATCTCTCCCTGCTTCTACCTCTTCCCATCTCTGTCAGTCACTCTATATATCTAAGTATGTCTGCCTGTCTCTCTGAGTGTCTCTGCCTTTTTCTGTGTCTCTCCCCATCTCTGTCAGTCCCTGCCTCTCTCTGTGTGTCTTTCTTGCCTCTCTGGGTGCCTCTGCCTAAATCTATCAGTGTCTGTGTCTCTCTGGGTCTCTCCCCACTCTTGTCAGTCTCTGTATCGCTCTGGGAGTCTCTCCCTGTTGCTAGCAGTCTTTGGGTCTCAGTGGGTGACTCTCCCCGTCTCTGTGTCTCTCCTCACCCTCTGTCTCTCACCATCTCTGCCTGCCTCCTCGCTCTCTCTGCTCTCACTTCCCTCCCCACTCCTCCTCACCCCGGGGGCAGGGACAGCCAGCCCACCTTGAGGTTCTCGTGGTTGAGGTCGGTCTTGTGCTTGTCGGTGGGCTTGTAGCCCCCGTGGCGGTCCTGGATGATGGGGTCGAAGAGGTCTTTGAAAACGACATAGCACTCCTCGTCACCAGCCACACAGCCCACAGTCATGATGAAAGGGTGACCTGTGGGGAGGGAGGGGTCACAAGGGGCAGTCAGAGGGGCTCACCCCAGCAAGGGAGACCGGGTGTTCACTACGAGTCGGTGCCCTGAGCCCTGGACTCACACCGACTCGTATATTCTCCCAACAGCCCTATGGCACCAAACCAAAACTCACTGCCACTGAGTCTGCTCTCACTAGCGCCACCCTATGGGGCAGGTAGAAGGGGCCCTGTGAGTCTGAGACTGAATCTGCACTGGAGCAGACAGCCTCGTCTTTCTCCTGTGGTGCAGCTGGCAGTTTCAAACTGCTGACCTTGTGGTTAGCAGCCAAACACGAACCGCGCCCCCCTGCGCCCTTTACACCACAAGTGCCCATTTTTGAGATGAGGAAGCTGAGGCTCCAGGAGATTATGTGACTTCCTTGGGTGTCATATGTATTACTAGAGACCATGGTGTGGTAAGCAGTAGGAAGGAGAGAGGGTGCTAGGAGGGCTTAGGGTGATCTCAAGGTGGGGAGAATGCTGAGGCAGGAAACACAGGAGAAGGGAGAGACTCGGAGACTAGTTGTTTCTTTTGTCAGCTGTTCTTGAGTCGACCGGACTCACAGAGACCCTCTGTGTATCAGAGTTGAGCTAGGCTCTGTTGGATTTCCCGTGGCTGGTTTTTTGTTTTGTTTTTGCAGGGTGGGAAGGAGACTGCCAGGCCTTTCAAGGCACTTCTGGTGGACTTGAACATCCAACCTTATGGTTAGCAGTCAAGTTCATTTGCTGTTTGGATCAGCACCTCGGGGTTATCAAATCAGGGGGTCTTAGGCTAAAACTCAGACTCTGTTCCCTACAAGGGTCAGGATGAAGACCCCTTCTTTTTCCCAGGTGAGGGACCAGAAGCCTGGAAAGAGGGGTTCTCTGCCCAATCACAGAATGGGTTGGAGTTGAAGACGAGACCAGACCATCTAAGTCTGGTGTCAGCCAAGTCTACTTGGAAGAAGCACGACAGCCTGTGTGATCCAAGGATTGCCAACATTCGGAGACGGGAGGAAGGAGTTGTGTGAGACTTAAATTCTGAGCACTTAGTTTGCAGAAGGCTATGGACAACAGTGAAAACCCCAAAGCCATTGGCAGAGTCCCCACATGGATTAAACCTCTGGTGAATCTCTGACCACTGACCAGGGATGAGGAAGCCTTGCCCCAGACAGAGTGTGTTGGAAAACATATGAATGCAGATGGAGTTAGGATGAAATTTAGCCCCTTATCATTTGTGTTCCTTTGGGGCCCATTTTTAATTTGTTTTATTTGTATTATGTTCTGCTTTCTTTGGCATTGAGATTTTCTAGGGTTATTTTGTTGTTGGATTCTTTCTTTGTTGTTTTGTTTTTGTTTTTTTAAAGGGAGGAGGTCGGTATCATTTTCTTCATATGAAATCCAGGATAGGAAAATACCGTATATACTCGAGTTTAAGCCGGCCCAAATATCAGCCGAGGTACCTAGCTTTACCACAAAAGCTGCATTAAAAAATGTACTGAAAAACTCCACTTAGACACCAGTATACACAGTAGATTAATAGTGTCTTAGTGTTATGGCAAGAGTGGTGGTGATGGGGGGGGGGAGTTAATAATGAATACAAGAATGCAGAAGAGCTTCTAAAATTGATTGTGGTGATGATTGCGCAACTCGTTTTCATATGTTTAACCCCCTGGAGCGTACCATCTGTGAATTGTATGTCCATAAAGCCCACTGCTCCACCAGGGCTCCGCTGTGACAAACGTCCGCTGTCTTATCCGAAGCGCTCACTGTCTCCAGCACCCCCCAAAGCCCAGGACGCCGTGCCCAGCTACGCCTGTATTTTCACGGCAGCCCTGCGACACGGATGCCCGGTTTTCAGCCGAGTAAAGGAGGCCCTCCAAGAGAGGAAATGCCTTCCTTGGGGCCTGGCAGCATTACCATGGACACGGACAGCATGGTTTCCCGGGGACCAGGCGCCCTGGTGTCATAGTGGTTATGAGTTAGCCTGCGCTCCACAACGTCTGTGGTTCAAAGCCACCAGCCACACCTCAGGAGAAAGACTGGGCTTTCTACTCCCACCAGTCGGCACAGAGACTCACAAGGGCAGGCCCACCCTGTCCCATAGGGTCACTGCGGAGTCAGCGTCGGCTCCGTGGCAGTAAGTTTGGTTTGGTTTTATTTACTGTGGGTCAGGCACTCTGCCGGTACTATCTGGTTGGTTTCTTTTTTTTTAAATCATTTTACTGGGAGCTCGTACAACTCTTATCACCATCCATCCGTCCATCCATTGTGTCAAGCACATGGGTACATTGGTTGCCCTCCTCATCCTCAAAACATTCGCTTTCTACTGGAGTCCTTGGGATCAGCTCCTCATTTTTCCCCTCCCTCCCCGCCACCCCCTCTGCTTGATTTCTTAAACCTCCCCGTTTCACAGGTGAGCAAACTGAGGTTTCCATTTCACAAATGAGAAAGCTGAGCTGACCCCCTTCCCCCCAACCCCACCCCAGGTTCCCATTGGACAGGTGGGGAAACCAAGGCCCAGAGAGGCAGACTTGGTGCCTGGAATGGATGCCACAGTGGCTCAGGCGGCCCCTCCCGAGCGACTGACCTGGGTTGTCCACTCCGGTCTGGATGATGTCATCCAGGGTGAACCCAGAAGGTGTCTCCTTGTCCCTCAGCTTCTTGTAGAGGTCGGGGGTCAGCACCTTGGCCATGTGGTTATTGTGCTTGCTCAAGTCTGGAAACTCCTCCTCCGGCTTGTAGTTCAGCTTGAACTTGTTGTGAGTGTTGCCGAAAGGCATGGTGGCAGTGCGGCGGGCCTGGCGGGCTGAGGAGGGACAGGAGGTGACCTCAAGGCAAGCAACAGCCAGCAAAGGGAACAGAGCGAGGCCTTAGGAGCAGGCAGGCCCAAGAGCCAAGCCTGATTCCTGTGCTGTGTGACTTGGAGTAAGTGAGCTGCCCTCACTGAGCCTTTGCAGCTTGCTGGACTCCAAGCTGGCTGGAGACCCAATTCCCCCAGCTGACAAGGGGCCGAGCAGGTGGCTGGCAGTCTCTGGGGTGGCTGCTGTGATTGTTACTTCTCAGAATTGGCCCCTAAAGAAACAGGGCAATTCCACAGTAGCCGTGGCAAGACGGGGACAACCGGCCCAAGCCCAGCTCCAAGGATGCAGAGCAAGTGGAGGTTGTAGGTGGGACCTGGGGGCCGGGGAGAGGTGAGGGTCAAGGCGCTGGGCCAGAGAGTGGGACTGGGGACGTGCAGAGAGTTCTGGGGTTGCTGCCCAGGGTAGGGGCTATTTTTAGACTCTGGCAGGCTCCCCTCTGGCCCCTTCAGCTGCTGCCCTCCGCCCCCCACATTCCAGGGTCTCAGCTTGCACCAAATCATCAGTCCAGGGAACAGGTGGGGCCAGGGTGGCTGAGAGGACACCCAACCAAGCCCCCGGGGCTCAAGGACACCCTGGGCGCCCAGCCCAGAGCTCCTCCCCATTCACAGGATGTCCCCACCCTACCCCTGCCAGGGACACCCTGGGGACAGGGCACTGAAGCCAGGTGGGTGACCCCCGAGAAGCAAACCAAGCAATATCTTCAGGGCCACATGTACAGCATCACAGCCCAGGACAGCCACTTCCCATACACACCCCGGACCACACCAACCAGAGTCACACGCAAGGCCACACCGTCAGACCCAGGACACCCTCGGGAGACAGGACACCCATGCAATGCCCACGGGAAGACAGACACAAGGTCACAGGGACACAGCGGGGACCCACGGAGCTGCTAACACAAAGACCCTGTCCACAGTTGCTCTCGAAGTCCCCGATGGGAGTTACAAAGACACCCCCACATGGCTGGTGGCCCCCAATCCTGAGGACAAACTATAAAGAACAGAGGGCAAGCCCCATAGGCCCTGGCTGGGGGTGACAGTTGGCAGCTTTCAAAAGCCCCTTCGCTATGATCTGTAACCCCAAACCTATGCCACCAAGCAGCTAGTGACCGCCAGGGATCTCTCTGCCAGGCTTTCTTGGAGATTACCTGTGGTTAATACACACAGGAAAGAGCATTTAAATTCACAAGGTCACCTACCACAGACTGCTTATGAGCAAGAGGACAGGCAGGTCTAACCCAAGAGACCCTTTCTCCCAGGGACCCTCTACTCTGCCCCTCACCCCCGCCCCGACTCCCACCCCAGATGGTACCTGGCTGGGCTGTGCTGAGGGGCAGGCTGTATCCTCCAAGCGGTACTGACCCAAAAGCCAGGCCTGCAGCCCCAACCTTATATAAGGGGGGATCTTGCTGCGCTATTGGCTGGGAGGGGAGGTGGCTGAAGGCCAGCTGAAATGCTCAGCTCCCTGGCCGGGCACGGTGCCCATCCTGGACCCAGGCATGCCTTGCGCCCAGCCCCATGGCCTTGTATGGGTCCCCCAAGGACCAGCCCAACCTTCTCCCCCCACCTCCCCACCTGATCCTGGGACCAAGTGCTGAGTGGTCTGGCTGGGACAACAGCTGGCCCCAGAACCGGAACACGCGGCCTTGAGGCCACCCTCCCCTGGCCCTAGGCCCCACGCAAGTGGCTGATACCCAGCCCTCAGCGCCCCTCGAGCCCCTGTTACAAAACTCTGAAGCCCCCACCCCAGGAGGGCTGGCATGCCGGGTTGCAAAGAAAAGATACCGAGGTCCGAGAGCACCTGTGGCTCGCTCCGGCACTCAGCTAGAGGGCCTGTGTGACCAAAGCCAGGCTGGACCCCAGGGCTATCTGCTCCCCCAGGGGACCTGCGTTCAAACCTCTCTCTTAAGTGGGTGTGAGAGCGAGTGGGAGGGAAACTGAGGTATGTGGAATCCCAGCGTTCCAACTCAGTCACGGTAGGGGCCTAGGGGGCCCTACCCACTGCCCCCACCCTGGGAGTCTACTGTCTTTAAGATGAGGCCAAGGGGACCCAGAGGGACTTCGCCCGGCTCGGAAGGGAGTTATTTTTAGAGCGCGTTTCGTGTCTCTGAGCCCCCGAGGCGCTGGGATGGGGGGGCTCCGGGGCAGGTGTCAGGGGGGTCGCCACGTGTCCGGGTTAATTATAACCGGTGGCTCTGGTGTCCCAGCGCATCGCCTCCTTACAAGGGCAGCTGCGGGGCCCCGGGGCGGCCGCTCCCTCCCCGCGGAAGGGGGCTGGGGGAGGCAGCGCCCAGCGCTGGTCCCGGAGTCGCCTCTGTGACCCGCGGGGTTGTGCAGCCGGTGGCTGCGCCCAGACACAGCGACTCCTTGCCTTCGCCTCCAAAGTGGGGCCCGGGTTGCACCAGCTTGTCCCCTGCTTTATTTTCTTTTCAGGCAAAGGAAGGCCAGCTTAAGGCAGGGGACCCCCCTAGACTCTTCCAGATGCCTGCTCCCCAGGTTGCCGGGTGGACCCCTGGAAAGCTTTTCCTTAGGAGCCCTGATGGCATAGCAATTCCTCAATGGGCTGCTAACCGCCAAGGTCAGCGGTTCTAAGTCACTGGCTGCTGGGAAGGAGAAAGAGGAGGCTTTCTGCTCCCGCAAAGATTTCCAGCTTGGGAACCCCACCAGTTGGAGAACGCTCGGCTGCGGTTATTGTTGTTATGTGGTTTCGACCTCTCCACCCAACTGCCCCTTCCCCAGCCAGGTCAGACTGGCAGAGGTCTCCATCCCTCTTAGGGAAACACAGGCCTTCTTACTAAGCCAAAAACCAAACACCACCACGCACAGCGACCCTATAGGACAGGGTGGAAGTGTTCCTATGGATTTCCCAGACTGCAACTCTAAGGGGTGAGAAAGCCTCCTTTTTCTTCCAGGGAACGGCTGGTGGTTTCAAACTGCTGGCCTTATGGGTAGCAGCCCAACGTGTAGCCACTATGCCACCCGGGCTCTTTTACATACATACACACATATGTACACACATACACACATATACACATACACGCACACATGCATACACACACACATACACATACACACATGTATACACATACATGCACCCATACGTACACACATACATACGTACGTACAAACACACATACATACATAACCACACATAGACATACACACATACGTACATACATATACACACATACCTACATACATACACATACATACGTACGTACACACACACACACATTCTGATATACATCATTTGACTCAGAATCTCTGTGCATCTCTCATTTCAAATAAGTACTGATTGGATGGGTAATAAACGCTCACGGGGGGGCCTTGCCTGCGTGGTGTAAATGGTTAATGGGCTCGGCCTCCGGTGGAGGTTGGTGTCTGCCCAGAGGTGCCTCAGAAGAATCTACTGCTGCAAACTCAGCCTGGGAACCCTCCAGAGCCGAGCCCTGCTGTTGACTCTCCGTGCATGTGTGTGTGAGTGTGTGCGTGCACAAGTGTGCGCACTTGGGGACACAGGGAATGAACATCTGCTCTCTGGAGGCGATGCATCAGTGAGGGTGGAGACCCGAACCCACTGCCCTCGGGATGTGGGAAACTAACACTGAGGGAAACGTGATGAGGACTCTGTTCCCTAACTGATCCCAGAGGGAGTCTGGAAAGCCGGTATTCCACAGTAGGAAAGCCTCCACTTTGGTCAGTTAGAGATAAAGTCCAAGACATGATCCTGCTTTAAATGTCATTCCCACAGATTCTCCCCTAACAGTTCCGCTGCCTTAAAGGGAGCACATGGCTCAGTCTGTCTCCCTGTAGAAGCAGACATTCTTTGATTATCTCCTCTCGCTGTAGCACCCATCCCCCCTCATGCCTTCCCCTAATGCAGGTATCAGGTTCCTCACCTGTGAGTTCAAGGACTATACAGTTCTGTGATTACCACTCACCTTATGATGTATGTAACTACTGAATATGCCTGTCTATTGGCTACCTATAAATGTCCCAAGACAGTAAAGATCCTCTCTCTCTGCAAGAACCTGGCTGCTGGGATCATGGCCAGCCCGGAGGTGAGCATGCTACTATGAAATGTGCCTGCCTCCTTTATTTGACCCTCTCACTCCTATCTTCTGTGACTTTGCTATGATCTTTATATGATAACCGTACAATTGCGCCTATGGACCCCTTGGTTGCTAGAGGCTGGTTGACTCTGACATCGAGTGAATTCCTACCCCCAGTGACCTGCTAGGGCAGGGTAGAACTGCCCCTCTTGGTTTCTAAGCCTGTAACTCTTTCCCAATCAGAAAGCCTCTTGTTTCTCCCTCGGAGCATCTGGTGGGTTTGAACCACTGACCTTGCCCTTAGCCGTCTAATGCTTGCCCAGCAGCTCCATGGGAGAGCAGGTGCCCACACAATGCTGACAAGCTTAAGGGTAATGTACTAGGCTGGGTGCCCAGAGCTGAGCTCCCCCCTCGGGGCCATCTCCCATTTCCCTCTCCAGCCTCTTCAGACAGGAGGAAGCACTAGAGAGACTGACGTGCATGCTGAGTGGCCTCTCCACTGACACACACACTCATCCATCCTCCTGGTCATCAAGCTCTTCCTAAGTGTCAAGGAGCCTGGGAGGCCTGGTGGACTGCCAGCCTCAGGGTCAGCGGTTCAAACCCACTAGCCGCACTGAGGGAGAAAGATGTGGCTGTCTGCTCCCGACTGATGTTTCCTAAAGGAGTTATGTGATGCAGTGGGTGATGGGTTGGATTGCCTCCGAAACCCACAAGGGCAGTTTGCCTGTGTCCAAGAGGGATGCTAGGAGTTAGAATCGATTCCCTGGCAGGCAGTTTGGTTTGGTTTGGGGTCAATAGCCCTGGTGGTATGACTGGGTGAGCATTGGACCCCACCCACCAGTCAGTCACTCCTCGGGAGACAGATGAGGCTGTCTGCACCAGTAAAGACTGACAGTCTCAAAGCTGCAGGTTCAGTAACCGGATTCATCGTTTCTTTGGGTTATGGCAGGGGAAGTTGGGGAGAAGTGGAGAGCTAAAATAGTGAGTGTGAGAAAGAAGAAAGTGTCCTAAAACTGCAGTGAGGATTGCACAACTCTTTAATATGCTTGAACTGTGGAACTGTGTGACATGTGAATTATATGTCAATAAAACTGTTAGAAAGCCTTTAAGGGAGGCTTGAAGGTAAACAAGTGGCCACCTAGCTTAGAAGCAACAAAGCCCACATGGAAGAAGCACATCAGCCTGTGTGATCACGAGGTGTCGAAGGGATGAGGTATCAGGCATCAAAGAACAAAAAATCATATCACTGTGAATGAAGGGGAGTGCGGATTGGGGACCCAAAGCCCATCTGTAGGCAACTGGACACCCCCTTACGGAAGGGTTGCGGGGAGGAGATGAGCCAGTCAGGGTGCAGGGTAGCAATGATGAAACATATAACTTTCCTCTAGTTCCTAAATGCTTCCTCCCCGCCCTCCTTCATGATCCCAATTCTACCTTACAGACCAGAGGATGTACACTGGTACAGATAGGAACTGGAAACACAGGGAATCCAGGGCGGATGATCCTTTCAGGACCAGTGGTGTGAGTGGTGATACCGGGAGGGTAGAAGGAGGGTGAGGTGGAAAGGGGGAACCGATTACAGGGATCTACATATAACCTCCTCCCTGGGGAACAGACAACAGAAAAGTGGGTGAAGGGAGATGTCGGACAGTGTAAGGTATGACAAAATAATAATTTATAAATTATCAAGGGTTCATGAGGGAGAAGGGAGCAGGGAGGGAGGGGGGGAATGAGGAGCTGATGCCAGGGGCTTACATGGAGAGCAAATATTTTGAGAATGATGAGGGCAATGAATGTACAAATGTGCTTTATGCAATTGATGTATGTATGGATTGTGATAAGATTTGTATGAGCCCCCAATAAAATGATTTTTAAAAAAGAAAGAAAAGAAAGCCTTTAAGGGGGTTTCATAACTTTTCCCCCTGTGTGCTTAACCACATTTATGGGCATGGTTTGTTTTGGAGTGAATTCCACGAATATGGCTCTTCTATATAAGGAGAAATAAAATAAAAATCAAAAGATTGACGGTCTGGGGAACCCTCCACAGGGGAACGGGGAGCCTGAATCCACTGGCGGGCAGTGGGCGTGGTTTTCCCTGTTTCCTGAAAGGCAAGCGCTGTATTGGCATTGAGTTTAAGCATTTGGCTCCTAACTGCAAGGTCGGCGGTTGGAAACCACCAGCCGCTCTGTGGGAGAAAGATGAGACTTTACTCTCGTAAAGAGTTACTGTCTCGGAGACCCACGAGGGCAGTTCGAGAGGGCCGGTCCTACAGAGTCACTGGGAGTCGGAATTGACTTGAAGGCAGGGAGTTCGTTTTCCGTTTTTCGGTCTGATTCTGTGTCTTCGTGCTGGAGTAC